ACACCTCATTACATCTAACTTCTTAAGTTACCATGGTTAAGCCTCAGCAACAATTATAATTCAGTTCTCCCTCTATAAAACCCATATACTACTGCTTCTGTACTTCAGGAGAGTATTGTGAGATAAAATAAGGACACAAAAAACTATAAATTATATTAATGTCACCCCCATAAGCAAGTCAGATACATTATCCATTCAATATAACTGGGGTTAAAGTACATCATGGAGACCATGTAAAGACTGCCATGACCAAGTGTGTTCCATTAGATAATGATGTTTAGCATAAAAGCCCAGAGGAGTGGTGATTGAAGTACGCCAATGGAAGCACTGACTTAAACTGACATTTTTGTTTTGTCTTTAAATAATGATTTAGCCATCTTGTTATACAATACACATTAGGTATATGCTCCCCAGATAAAAACAAAACAAAACAACTTCCTCTTTCAATTAAAGAAAAAGTTAGTGAACATTTTTAATTTGAAACTGGGTCCTTTAAAAAGTTACCATCTGTGTCAACTTTTCCTTTGTCCCAAATGATCTTTTAATAATATGGTAACAAAGACTCTTAAATCTTTTCATATGTTTAAACTAATTGAAATTTTGTGCAGAGGTTATATATAAAGAAATTAGGTTGCAATTAAGCATAGTTATTAATGATTCTTAAATTGAATTGTTGTGACTGTAATAGAGCACAGACAAGGTCAACTCTACAACTCCACAAAGGTTAGCTTTAAAGAAAAAAAATACCACCTGAATTATATGCGTAAAACCCACCTTTGTAATTATATAGCTCTAATCATACCAAGTATGTTCATCCATTTCAAAAAAGTTGTTTCCAAACTGATGAATGAAAAACAAACCCCCTCTCTAAAACATGAAGTTTTATTTATTAATACAGCAAAAACACATTAAGTAAAATTAAAAATACTCTTACAATAATTTTAAAAAAAACCAACCAAGAAACCCTCTGCAAAATGTTATGCTTATAAGCAAATTCAAAATGTAAGTCACTTCAGCAATTACTGTAGAGTCCTTACACTAACACATAAATGTCAAATACATCTTTTAACTGCTGCATATCAGCAACGAAGTGTGAAACAGTGTATTTCAGATTCTCAGTCAAGATCACTTCCCTTTCACCTATATGCATTAGAAGGAAAAACATTGGTGTCATCTTAAAAGGAAACTCAGACAAAACATCTGTCTTCTAATACGGCTACGGGAATAACTGAAACACAGAAAGAATAAAAATAATAATTATTATCCTTTCTGAAATAAAACACACTGAGCCAGTGCATTGCAATAGTATCTTTCCACCAGCACAGGGAAACCAGCTAAAGTCATCGACACCATAAGATGGTCCATACAAAATACATTCCCACTATTATTCTCTTGCCTGAGCAGACCTCATTCTAGAAGACTACTGGATTTCCACTTGTACAAGTTCCGATGTGTCACAGGGTACACCTATATTAGTACTTTAATTCAAATGAGGAGAGCAGTTTTGCAACCAATCTTGCTACCACCCTAGTTCATGCACTTCTGTTTGCTGCACAAAGCAGTCCTGGAGCACACAAACCTGGCACCTTTCAGACAAAACTACAAATCGCAAGATGTATGCCAGGAGCACTACCACAGCTAACAGGGCGCAGGAGCAGACAGGACTCACTTGCAGATGTACTGAGTATAAACAGTTATCAGGTCCTCACCACCTGTTACTTCATTCTCTGAATCTGCTCTCACATTACTTAGGCAGGCCCAGCTACTGCACTTCAGGGTCTCCTATCACCTATGAGACGGGATCTGACTGCACTTAAGGTTCACTGAGCCTCTTAGGCTTTGCTTCCTCTTTGGCTTCATGTTTTCCAAAGTTCTCAACTCCAGCCTGTCATCTCTGCCCATTTTACCACTCAAAAATAACAGCTTATTATTCCTCAGTATCATCTACTCTCACCACACCTAAATTTCCTCTCATAAGACTACTCAAAGCCTGACTATGATTATCCTTAAATAAATTTAATGCTAGCACTTCTTAACTTTGAGCACTGGCTGATTTTAAAATAGTAATACTTGAATAGGTTGATCACTTAAGCACATTAAAAAACAGCGCACTAAAGGCAACTGTGTAGCATCACATCAACTCCAGTGCTCAACAGCAGGGTTAAAAGATTACACACCACCCTCAGCCCTCTATTATGGACATGGATACAGCACTAAAGATAGTAAAGGAAACGTTCTCTCTATGTATTTCACAGCCATTAAGACTTGTAACACTGTGCCCTACCAGACCTTGAATTCCCCAAACTCAATTTTGAGTCTCAACTCAGAGAGAGATCCCCAGCTCCACTTACAGTCCTCCACTCTCAGTCCTACTTTCAGTTCAATAACCTGCCTTTGCAATGCCCTGTCTACCTAGCTGCTCAAAACCATTCATCCCAGTACTTTCAAGTCATCCTCATTCTCCTTGACTGGGCTGTGAATCAGAGAGAGATTGCTCTGTTCCGTTCTTTTCCTGAAAGAAAACCATCCTGACTGCTGATGGGAGCAGTTTTTAAAGGTCCTAGGCTATATCCACATGACCAAGTAATTCCGCATAATAGAAGCAGTCAACCAAAGCAGCCAGTGCCTAGGCCCCTACACTTCCAGCATATAGGATTTACAAGCTTTATTTCAAGTTAAAGTCAGTCTGGAGCATCAGATTGAACGTTGCACCACACACGTGCCTCGGGGCTGTCCAAAGAAGCAATTGCTAGGGCTGGAGTTCACTCAGCATCCGACTGGAGAAGAGATCCCATGCTCAGCTTCCTCCAGGAGGAACCTAGAGAAACCTCTCCGTGAACTGAGTAAGTGACCGCCCAGTGGAGACAGATCAGAGAATTCACTTTAAAACTGTAATAACATGATTGCTTGCAGAAGCAAGGCAGCTTCACCACATCCCAGGATGTTCTTGGTACAAACAGAAAAAACTTAGCTGGCAAAATAATAAGCTTCTACCAAGAATACTTCAACTTTCAGAATTTAGACTAAGGTTGATAGCTTTCTTGGCTACAAAAAAAAAAAAAAAAAAAAAAAAAAAAAAAAAAAAAAAAAAAAAAAAAAAAAAGTGCTAAACAACTCTAGCTCTCTTGCTCCAGAGAAAGGTCAGGGTAGAAGTTGTAATTACATGAAACCCATAATTGTTGAATTAAATGCTTACAGATTCTTGACACTGGAAAACCACTGCAGTTTGCCTTTTGTTTTCAGAAACAAATAAACCACTTTAATCTACAAGCAACCACAGTTAGACACAAAAAATTATGGACAACATTAGATCTAATTTAAAAAAATCTCCCACTTAAGCCTACACAGTTACCTATAGCAAGAAGGAGAAAGACAACCACACATTCATCCAAAGTTAATTAAAATAAGGAAAAATGCATGTCATGAAATGTCTTTACTTAAAAAATAATTACTAACTAAACTGGCATCAAAATGTCAACTCAGTAGGCTTTTCTTTAATTAACAGATAATAAAACAGCACAAGGAGGAAAACCTTTATTTTACATTTCAGAATTTCAAATATTCAGTAAGACATTGAGTTTCATGGAACATTGTCCTTTTTTGGACCTCAGTGATTAATACATGTCTATCCAGTGCTCGGAGTTGAAATCAGGGTGTAATAAGAACGAGTGATATTACATGAAGGGACTGATGTTGCATAGAAGACAATCAGTTAGATCATCCTAATTCCTTTATAATACATTTGAAAGAAATTATATGAAGTAATAAAAAATTAAATCAGTTACCCAAACTGAGCAAACAACAGGGAGATGAGAAGGAAAAATAATTTAAAGTTTTAAATAGTTCCTGTCATGTAATATTTAATTTGTTATAAATGTAAGCATATAGGCCAAAATAGGGAACAGGCCTTAAGCTTCATGCTCTTTAGCCCATTTTAATCTACCGTACCCATAATGCATCATGAAATAAAATTTATTCAGGAATGACAGAATAATACACTTTTTCTCTCATTCTCTTGGCTTCTTTGACATTTTATGTCAATCTGCAATAGCAAAGCTAATAATGATCTTTGTCTTCACGCACTACTATTGAAACAAAGCATTTCTTTGTAAATTAAAGGGTAAATTTGTTCCCACTCTTCCAGTCTAAATCTCTCTGGGCTAGAATCACAGAAGCTAGTGGCATAAATCACCCTACAATCCAGACCATCTTCTCTCCACTAAAGAGATAATGTTCTTTTGGAAATAATCATCTGCCCAACCACAACCCAAAGCAGAGCTGCATGAAACAGGGAAGATTTCATCTGAAGTTCATTACATGATACAAATGCCAGAGATTTCTAGAGGTGTCTCTTTCAAAGCTTAACATACAGAAAACTTCCCAAATTTGCAAATCACATGGTGACACATAATAAAGTGACATCTCAAGAATTTACAGGAACTCAAATGTAACAGAAATTGTACTTTGGACTGGCTTATAATTAAGAATATATTCTTTAATAATATGGCTTCCAGGACTGGAAAGTAATTAGGTGTATGTTGAGCTTTATGCAAGTATCATGTTGATTTCATGGGGCCTACTTGCATTTGTAATACAAGCTGAGCCACAGTGCCTGATTCTGGCACCTGGGAACTTTCAGACAAAGTACCACATCTGCAACAGCTTCCAGGTAATCTACTGTGCACCTCTAATGCTACCTCTTCCAGCTGCCACCATAGCCTACTTAAATCTGATACATGGGTGACAGCAGCTGCAGCAGCGAGGCTAAGTGGGAATTACTGAGTCCTCTTCACTGTCAGTTACCTCTGTAAACAGGGGCAGTGCTGAGGGCTAAGTATTAACAAGACCAAGGCCTTAATGGCCATTAATTCCATATGGTCAGATTAGCTCACTGCAGACCAGAAGATAAATCAAGAATGCTCTTATGTGTAACCATGTAATGCCATTGCACAGAGCACACAATACATCAGAAGAACTTCCCATTAAATGGTAGAACTTACCCCTCTTCTGAACCCAGCCTTCCTTCACAATGGTAACATCGCTCATGATGGCTCCACTCTGAAGCCCCAACTCAAAGGAGTATTTCTCTCAGTTATCAGCTTGTCTGTTTGGCTTTTCTTCTGCAGCTCTTCCCTGTTTCTACTGATGAGTCAGCCTGGAAGGAAATATTAGAGAAAGAATTTAAGTCTTTTCTGTCTTTCTCACTTGACAGCCAACAAAAAAGTCTTTGTTGATGTCTTCCACTGACAGAAAAATCTGCCTTTTTAAAATTAATCATATAACAGAATCATGTTTCTAGTCTTAGAACACATTTTTCATGAACACTAATACTTATAAGAAGCAGAATATGTGAAATGTTAAGTCATGTGGGACTTTTGTAAAATGCACACAATAGAATTCTCTTATACTAATGCACAGGATGCTGTTAAATGAAGAGGTGCTGATACTGCTTCACAAGTCTAACTCTGAACCCACAGGAGCTTTAATCATTCCCACATTTGTCAGAATTCATGTACTGGACAAGTGGATCCACTATTATGCTACATTGATCATACCAAGAGCACAAGAAAATGGAAATAAAGGTTTTGTAAAGAAGCTTAAATCCAAAGCTTCAGGCACTAGGGATACTGTTATCCTTTTAACTGTTAAAATCTGTAATAACCAGTTTATCAACCATGGAATTACTTTTTTTAACACTTGAATTAAAGAAAAAAAAACAGTAAAGGCTATAGAGACAAAACATTCTTCCTACTTCCACTGCAAGTTCATCACAGCCAACAGAAATCCTTAACTGACAGAAGTTTAAAAACAGTATCATCTACAAGTACAGAAACAGAAAAACTACTACTTAGAAGTACAAATAAACCAAAAAAGCCAATGTTTGGTTTAAGAAAATAAGAAGCTCACATCCTCTCAAGGCTTTTAGGCAGGCAGTGACCAGAGTGCTCTTTTCCCTAAGCCAGAGGGCAGGAGAGGCTTCCTTTTGCCAGCAGACTGCCCTTCCTCTCCATCTTTCAAAATAAAGAGAAGTAGTGAAATAATGCTTATCTTGAAAAGGGTGGAAAACCAAGAAAGGAGATTTCTCTGAAGGTAGAGCAACAGCCTTCTACAGCTGCACACACAGAAGCACACATGTACACAGCACTAGCACACAACAGGAATGCACACACCAGTTTAGTACTATCAAATTCAGCATATACTTACCCATTCAGTAGACCGACCAACAAATGTGAAGATGTGCTAGAAACAAATATGACTGTGCTAGAAGCAATCTGTGCAATGAGTAAATGGAGAAAGGACTGGGAAATAAGCTGGTTTAATCCAACCAAGTACAGGCTGAAAAGTGAACAATTATATGCATGCAGGTTATTTCTTATTTCTAATTTGAAAAATGTGTATTTGCACCACACAGCAGCTAGATGGAAGGCTACTTCTGTGTGGATGCTGTGCAAAATAAAACTTGATACAAGTATTTTTTTCAAGTGGTATGCAACAAAAAATGTAGTACAACCTGATTTTACAGAAACACTGAAGTGTGTACATTTTACATTTTGCTGTCACTGAACTATTTCTTTCAAAAGCATACAGTATTTCAGCTGCATAAAAGTAAAAACCACAATGCTAAATTCATTAATACAGCAAAGTTTAAGTAATATCAAATACAGTGCCTCTGAGGCATCTGCACTGCACAGGCTGATATAACAGTAAGACCTATGCAGGTGATACACAGCCTCTTGCACTGGCATCACGCCCTGTTGTGTCTCAAAGGACACAGGACACCTGTGTTTATGCAACTGCACCCTGCCTTAAGACTTACATATTGTTTAAGTTTAATAAGTTAATAAGTTAATAAGTTTTCATAACAGTTAAAAGAAACTGTTACATACAAGGTTTGGAAGGACATTAGACAGCTTCATTACTGTTAATTGATCTCACGAGCTTTAGCTGTTTAGAATTCGTATTATATAAGACCATATGGCAGAAATAATCAGAACATTCATTTCCACATCCTCCACCTTACTAATGTGAGAGTTATTTTCTGGGTCATGCATTATCAGAACCTTTGTTTGCTTGCTTCAACCTAGAGATAAGCAGGTCTATCAGCTGTGCGTGGAAAAAGATCCTGACAGAATAAGACACGTGCCTGAAAGCAGGCTGCAGTTTTGTCATTCTGGATCACTGCAGCACTGTATCAGCTCATACTACAAACACACAAATCCCGACAAAGCCAGAGGTGAGTGACCTAACAAGTAACTGTGACCTAAAAGTAGCTGTACCGTGAAGGAAGTGTAAATGCGTTAGTATCCAAATATCTGACTTGAGTTTGATTTTCCTACAAGATTTCAATTGCATTTCAATTGCATTTCAATTGCACAGCTGACTTTTTTTTTTCAACTATGAAGATAAATTAAGCAATGTAACACACAGTATGTAGCTTGGGCTGGCATATGCTGTAATGTGTCTTAACCTTTTGGCAAATTTAACGTACTTTCTGTTTTGGTGCACGCTCATGAAAGGTGCAATCTTTTTTTTTTTTTTAATCAGTAAAGACTAAACTGAAAGAAATTAACTCCTGTACTAAGTAGTAACGATCTTGTCTGCCCACATACTGATCAGTAAGTCCATTATTTGAGTAGACACCCAGTTTTAATGAATGAATTTACGCTTAAAGCTCCCTATTTATCCACTGACTACAATTAAGTTAGTATTACTCAATCAAAATCTTATCTTTGACCGATTTTCATGTCAGCCAGTGCCCCAGCAACCTTGTGTGTATCTGCAAAATTGCATTCCCACCCATTGCATGTACTGCTTTACTGAATTTCAAACAAAAGCCTCAAAATACAAAAATCAGATTGAAATGGTGACAAGACCAACTGAATTATCTCCAGTTTAGCTTCACAATATTATCAGGAACAACTTAAGTATAATTATCAACAGTTGTATGGTTATAGTGATTGCTCCTTTAATGGGTAATTACAAGTCAAGCTGAATTACACAGGAAGCTGAAGAAGATATATCAAAGCATTAGAAAACTAATGAAAATAAAGGTTATACATTAACATTGCACTTGTAAAAAGCCATTTGTAAGCATCTATAGCATTATCCCTTATTAAATACCTTTGAGGCTTTCTACAACCAGTAATTCTTTACTCTGAAAGTCACTCAGCAAAGCTCTAAAAAAGCAGACTTTTGAGAATTACTTTAATGAAAAAGTAATACAGAAATCTTCCCTGAATATGTAATAAAGGATTTCTATAGACATAAAGGAGTTACCAGAAACATACGGAACCAGAACTCCCTCATGAAAACAGCATTTCATGTACAGCTCAACTACTTCAAGAAAAGATACAGAAGTTTATTCTATACAGCTGGCATAGAACTTAAATACTTGTTACTAACCAACTCTGCTCTCCCAATGCACTTCAAGTTTCAGAACCTGGTATACAGTAACTTTTTCAGTCTCCCTTTTTGTTGTGGGATGGACCCACAGAAATAGGGGAAAAAAAAGTAGTAACTGAAGTTGAAGACATTATGCACTCCAGCTGCTCCCTACAGGCAAAAACTTGACTTGCTTTTATATATGCTTCTGCAACTAGAGAGCAGGTTGGACAGCTTTTTATTACCCAAATTATCAAGCATAACTTGGAAGATATGTTTCAAACTGCATATTCTGCAGACAGCATCAGATAGTCATGTATAAGCATAATACATACAAAAACTTATTGTCTACATGCTTTCTGGTGCAGGTGTAAAAATACACTCCATCTCAATCAGTTATGTAAAGAAAAAAAAAATGCTATCTTTTGGATGTGGTAGAAAATAGTAATTTTTTTCCTTCCTTTTTTTGGACAGCTATTAAGCCAGTTTTATAGTGTTAGAGGAAACAATTCAGCAGACTTCTAAAGAAGTAATATAAATTTCTAGCTACAGAGGTTGCAAAGGCATCTTTCTGAAAAAAAAAGATTAAGCAGAAACTATTACATGCAATAAAGTTGCAGATCCCTCTGCCAAGGCTCACAGTCTTCCCACGCCATGGTGAAAACTAGCCAACACCTTTTCAGTTTTCATCTTGAACTTCAAGAATAACAACAATATAGAGAAGAATCAGATTGTTTCATGAAGCTACCATATGGGAACTGTAAGACCATTTAAATGAGCAATGGTCCACTCAAAAAGAAGACACCTTTTCCTCAAATTCTATTTTTAAATTAAAGGAGACTCTCATACCCACCACAGCAGTCATATAACTCCACAGATCCAGTAGATGGGGAAAAGGAAAGAAAGCCCTTCCAAGCAGGAGGACTAAAAACAGTGGTTCAGGTATACACTTAACCACTGTGTGGAAGTGAATAATCATTGAGATTCCTAAGAACAGACAACACTCGCTTGGAATCTGGGCATCCTCCCATTTCCCCCATGACAAGAGGCAGCTAAGTAAAGAAGACAGTGCCCATAAATTCAGTGTAAATTGTATGATTCAGGTTTCTGTTGTAAGAACTTCCATAAACACAGGCTCCTACTTTCAACAATTCTGTAGCTGAGAAAAAACAGATACTCTCACATTTAACAACTCAAGTTACCAGAGAGAATACCAACAGGATCAGTTTCTTTGCTTCCAGACATGATCCTTGTAACTTCTTGTAGCATTACCAAGTTAAGTGATTTATCCAACCTTATTCTCTTAATACATAAGGGAACTACCACTTTCCCATTTTACAAGTAACCATTTGTTTAATAAAATGTTTTGGGGAAAAAACAGCATTTTGTCTGGCTGACTGAGATTCTTTGGTGCTCAATGTAAGCAGAACCAAATCTCATAATCTCTATCTCCTTATTTCTTGGAAAGGTAACTTAAAAACTTTGCGCATGCACACACAAAACACATACTACCAAAAAAGGCAGCTCTCAGTCATCCTCTAGTGGCTTCCATCACATATTTGTTTCCCTACTCTGGGGGCTTTTTTTTGCTGGCAGGTCAAGCTCTTAAGGTTTTCACAAATCTGAGTTGGAATCCTCCAAGAAAACCAAACAGGCTGTAACTGTCTCCAGTGCCGGTTGCAATCATAGAGCAAGAAATTCAAAAGATAAGAATCTGGACTAAAACCAGAGTTGTCTTTAGATTCAGATGTCGAGATCCAAGCTTTATTGAGATGAA